AAGTCTGGAAAAAAAGTAATGACAATTCATATCCGTGTGGCTTCCTGTTCTTAGGGGAAGTAATCCGATATGGGTTGTTCAGCGCCAAGGAAATGATTCTAGGTGCAGCTTGTGGAACGTGCCCCGCTTCCGTGATACTGAAAGTTATCCCTATAGCCAACTTGGGCACTTGCGAGTGGTCTCGTAGACAGTTGCAATCACAGCCCAACTGTGCACAACTGGGAGTGTCCTAAAGATGGGGCACTCCTGGCAGATAGCGTGATCAATTTAAGGGAACCGCATAGGACATCAACCAGGATAACCCACAGCCCTTGCGCTCGCAGATTTCTCAAATATCGTGCTTGTGTGCGTTTGTGTGTTTCTATGTTTGTCTTTCCTCCTTTTTTTTTTGGGGGGGGGGACTCACATTTCCAAGATGGGGCTTACAAAAACTAAGGGTGGCTTCCCGGCAAATACCACCGAAAGGCGTCAGCCTGTGCTCACCGAGTCTCCGCCCTTCATCTCGTCGTCTTCTCGGCGGCGCCCGCTCCCGCGAGTCGCGCGAGTCGCGGCGGCGCCGGGAGGCGCGGCGGGGCATGGTGCGACGTGTTCCACTTGTCGCACCCGTGTTTTGCGCCTTACATGGGTAAATCCACACTTGTGGGGCATCCAACTAACACGAGATCAGCTGTTGAGCTGGTCCCTGGTGTGCGCTTTTGTACATTGGAGCGGCGGTTCAGGTCGAATTTGTGTCGTGGGGAAACCTTTCCAGTTCTGAATGGTGTTGCGGCTGGCGTTCCATGAATCTTGAAGGTTCACATTGGCCTAGTATATACTTTCTGCGCTAAAGCTTCCCCACCTGCAACCAAAGGATCCCATGCTGAGTGTGGCAATGTCATACCTGAAAGCAAAGAGCCTTCTAGGCATGTAAACTTTGGACACCCATTTTCATCCTTGAACTACATCTTTACGTAGTTGGACCTTCTGGGCAAGACTCCAGGTCACCCAAACAAAAATGTCGGCCGGACCGGCTGGAGCGCAGTAAATCGCAAATCCTGGAAGCTCAGGTCCATAAGGGAGGGTCACTCGTGAAGCCAAGTCTGGTCCAACGGCGACGGCAAACAAGACCAGCCCTTAAGATGTGCTTGCCTCAAAATGGGGAAACACCATTTATGTTTACTTAGCTCTTGTTTTTGTTGGAAAGGGGAGGATTTTAGGCCCAGGAATCAAGGAGCCCACACAACGCCAAAGTTTGATTCACCCTGGGCAAGCGAACATATGTTGGCAGAGCAAACCCACCTGGCTGTGTCAAAATGCAGCCCCCTCCGTCGAACCTATGCCGTTTCACGCGGGCCGATCAGAACAAGATCTTTTGAGACATTGTGGTCCCCAAAATGGGCGGTGCTACAATGTTGAGATTCTCCTCAAAGCAATCCCCGCAAATGGTACCCTCCACGACACGACCCACATGGCAGGCTGTTTCTGTCAGGAATGGCTGGTATATTGACATGGAACTTCCAGAAGGAGTCCCCCAAAGAGATACAGAAGGAATGTGCGTGCTCCTTGATGACTTTCTTGGGAAAAGCACGTGCAAAGAGCCCTCACCAAAATACCCTTTATCAGGGTGAATACATTTGGGAGACACGCCCATTGCCTGCTTGGTGATATTGTCCAACAAATTCGAACTATGTGCAGGTAGTTTCGTCTCTTCATTGAAGGAGCGGTTGCAATGAGGTGCTCGCCTTGGTTGGCAGCATGCGTTGTCACCTCTTTGTGCCCCGGGTAAATTTTGTCTGTGTCGCCTCTTGCTTGTAAACCCGACCTAGGCTTCATCCACCCCTTTTGGATAGTGCTGAAAACACAAATACCCAACGAGTGTCAATTTGGAAAATCCCCACATAATCCTCTAGTTCAGCAACACATGTTTTGAGGGAGTCTCCCGCTGAATCAGGTTCAGACGATGGCTTGATTTGCTGCTCCAAGTTGGGCCTCAGGTTGATATTTTTTCGAACCAGGCCACGTGGGTCCCTCAAATTGGAGGCCAGTTGTCCGGCCCTTGCACGCTTTTCAAATGTGACAACAAGCCATCGATCGAATCTGGAATCAGAATCACACACAACCCTGAAACCAGCACCAGCATGCAGTACCCAATCGGTCAAAGCAATGACTGAATCTTACGGGACTGCTTGGCCAAGCACAAGATGTGTTGCCTTGGTCTTCTACTGCGAGATGACATAACATATGAGTGATACGGTTACAAACATCCAAAATAAACCACTAGGATATTGTTGTCCGTCCCTCTCATGAAAAATTGCTGTCTTTGATCTGTTCATCTTGTCTTGTAAGCAAATTACGTTGATCACAACAACAGCTTTCAGGCACTGTTGACTCGGCATTGGTCAATTGTGATCTGCCTGGCAGAAGCATGCTATTCGTATATTGAAAAGCGCGAGGTTCCAAGGTGATTCCATACCCTCATTAGCCGCGCGTCCACGACAAACTTGGAGTATGGGTTCCTAAGAGCGCGCACGGTTTCTCACCGGCCTTCTTTGGAGGCGCTCGCCAGAACGCAGACGAAGCCCTCCTGAGGCACTTTCCGGGAGCGGTACTCCCCGCATAATGTTCACTGACTTGGGTTCTATGTGAATGCTCAGGAAAGAGTAGGTTGGCAGGTTGGGGCAGGCATCCACTTAAAAAAATGCTGTGGGACTTTCCAGACAGTAACAAACCAGAAGTTTCTCCAGTTAAAATGCAAATCACCTGGGGTCGAGTTGTCATATTTGTCAGCTTTCTGTTTCCTGAGCAAACGGCCCGCAAGATAAAGAAGCTGCCTTACAGACTCAACCCCGACCTATGACTCCAGTGGTGAAGGAATGAGACTCCAAAGGAGGTCTTTCTCACTGGAGGCAAACCTTGGTTGTGATTCTCGTTCTTTCAACATTTGCTTGTTCGTTTTATCGCCCATTGAGTACAAACGCTGCCAACAATGAATGTGTGTCACTATTAACCAAAACGTGCTCTTTGAATCATACCCGGACCAGAAACCACACAAGTCTTCATTGGACACAGCAGGCTGTAGCAGGAGGTAGCTGAGCTGGACGAGCACAAGGGGCACAGTTGTCAGTTGGAAGACAATAACTTGCTTTTGCGGACGTTGATGTTGAGAATCTGCTCCTCGCATGCAGTGGCCCTCGCGTGATGCGAAGTTAGGACCAGCCAGTGGCTTATCCAGCACTCGGCTATCGCATGCAAAGGAGGATTTGTCTAGTAGAATAGCTCTAAAGCTGTCTTCATAAGCCAGGTGGCAAGTGCTCAGTTCGGACAAACGATGGGTAGCAAGGTACCAGGAAGGAACAGGCTCCGAACAACATAAGCATTGGGATGTATTGGGCTATACTGATTTCACAGGCTTCATGTGGGTGCTTTCTGACAAAGGAACCCTCTTTGTGTATGGCGGGTTGCCTTTTTTTCGCTTTAAAGCCATGCAACTCCCAGGAAGGCTTCCTCAAAACAGAAATGCGGGAGTTGAGCACTGGCCTACCCAAAGGACCTTCAAAAGATCGACTTTGGAGACGAGGAGGCACTGACACAGTGCAGAGCGCGCGACATGGAAAACACGAACCACAGAATGTGCGACGTTGCTATCCTGAGTATCTTGTGGCTTCAGAAACTCCATCACTTGACGGCAACACCAAATCCCTGCGCCGATTTACCCAAACTGCTTGACCCGTCCATCGTTTTGAATCTTGTGACCGTCATTCCTCGCCAAAGTATGCCAGAGAACAAAAAACAAATAATGATCCATCCCCATTCGGTCTCCTTCAGGGGAAAAAACCACATTCATGACTGCCCCCCTTGCGCCCTGGGAGCCCGCGCGGGGGATGGCCCGTGCCCGAATTCGCGTGCTTGAGCCGATGTTCGGCTGCAAAGACACAGCGCCCATGCTTGTTTTGCCCGGTGACCTTTTTGCAAAATGGGTGGCCCTGGTAAATGAAATAACCGCCATCCAAACCAGTGAAACCCATCTATTTCTTTAAACAACAAAAAACTAAGCGATCAAAAGGACACCTATGGTTTTGCCACGAAAGGCTCTCTGCAATACCATTCAAGTGTGGGAACTCTGGATGCTTGCCTCGAGCACGCAAACACGCAAACGCGGAACTGCTGCTCTCCGTATATTGGTCAACCTGGCGTGCACCAATCCGTTTTCGGACCCTCTTCGCAATTCAACAAATTAGTTCAATCGAACTTGTTGACCTTCAGACTTCTTCAATGTTGCAACCTCGGATGTCCTTCCCAAAAGGACATGCATGCCACGCATGTCCTCCTCGAAATGAATCAGACTGCCACCACATATTGTCGCTTGCTCGCTGTATTCCGAAATCACTGCCCAAAGGCACCAAAGAAAAAGAACTCTTTGCTGTTGTTGCCCCAGGTAAGATTACCACCAGTTGCGTAGGAGCCTACGTGCCAAAACACAGCACTTCTGCATTCACATACATAATCTTAGTCTTTTGGTTTACCTTTTAATTGAACATACTATCAGGAGATCTCAAACAGCCTCGTAACATGTCAGGAAGATGGGCTAAATTGTACTTGGGCAGTATTTGCCAATGATCAGTTGCAGCGCCGCAGGCCATATTGCGGCTGCGGCTCACAGCTGTGGTGCTAGTGGCTTGATCCCGTTCTCAGGGCTGGCGATTGACAGCTGGGGTTTTGAAATAGGGTCTCCTTTCTGGCGATTTTGAAGGGACACCCAATCTGTGCAGTACTCCTTTTCCTTCGCTCCCCGCTTGGCGGGTGACAGGACTGGCCGGCCAAGAGCGCGAGCGAGACCAGGCCCATGAGAATAGGAGACACCGAAGGGTCAAGGCTTGGGACAAGGAGACTGGAGGTTTAGATCCGAAACTTCCCAAAACGAAAAATTCGCAAACTCTGCTCTGCCTGTGCCGGCCAGTGCCAACACGAGCTCCGTGATCCGATACTGGGCTGGCTGACACGCCCTGGGAGCAGCGGATGCGCTCTGAAGCGACTGGGAAAATCAGGACGCCTTCCCTTGCCGGTTACTCCCAGAAGTGTAAAGCCTGCGAAGGCATTATCTTTGAAAACAGCCACGGCTGGCAGAAAAGTGCCCGACTGCCATGTCAGGAGGAGTGGGCAGCTTTGCGCTTCAGCAAATCCAGAACATTGAGGGGGACCCCCACAATGCTACCTTGAAAAAGACACAAACATCTCAAACATATCCAATATGAGTGTGGTGCTGTTTTTACTTAGACAGGCAGCTTGACTGGCCAACCCCGCAATCTATTCAAGCAGTTGCCCTTGAGGCACGGGCAAAAGAGGCAGCCTTGATGCTCGACTGCGGCTGGCCACAAAGTTCCAAACCACGTTGATTGATTAAGCAACGGTCTAACGTGTTTGAATTCACCAGTCACAATCTACCAACATATGTTGGGCCGCACGTTGGCAGACTGGGTTGCAACGCCAAAACTGTCTATCATATTTTGGAAAACTCTGCAAAGACTTCGTTAAATGGTCTTCAGAACTGGACAACTTCGTGGAATATAGCTAACATAACCCTGTGTTTCCCAACATGGGTCGTAGATTTGATTGCCCCAAATGCGTGTCTCTGCTT